CAAGAAGCTTCCCCTATGTCTGACAGAGCCAATGCCAGCGGCTCCAAGATGGACCTACTGCTGTCCAAGGCCAAGTTGGCCCATCAGCAAAAGCGATAGTGCTTCTGGGATAACACTTTTAAGAACAAGTGAAAAAAACATGTGCAACTGCACCTGGAGAAGAGAGGAGTGAGAATATGTGAGAGAAACAGCCCTGCAGATACCAGAGTCTCTGCCTTAGGCACTACAGCAGAGATTCCCCTACAGCCCGTGGGAAGGACTCATGTTGGAGACATTCATGGAAAACTGTCTACCATGGGAAGGACCCCATGCTGGAGAAGGGGAGGGGGTGTGAGGAGTCCTCCCCCTGAGGAGGAAGGAGCAGCAGATGTGTGATAAATTGACCACAGCCCCCATTCCCTATCCTCTTACACTGCTGGGAGGTGAGGGTGGAGAATTCAGCAGTGAAGTTGAGCCCTGGAAGAAGGGAGGGGTGGAGGAAAGATGTTTTAAGACTTGGTTTTATTTCTCATTACCACATTGCTCTGATTTGGTTGGTAATAAATTAAACTAATTTCCCCAAGTCAAGTCTGTTTTGCTGATCACAGTAATTGCTGAGTGATCTCTCCCTGACCTTGTCTCAACCCACGAGCTTTTTGTTTAAGCAGAGGAGGGGAGTGCTCCTGACGTTCAGACAGGGTCAACCCACCACAGCAAGGGTATTAGAAACATGTTTGAAAGTACTGTTCTGCTGAAAATGAGTCTATTGAAATAGTATTGGGGGACTATGCAAGGGGGAAAGAGCCAGCCCCAGTGCCATCTTGTCACTAGTACATTTAGGTTGAAGTCCTTGGAAAAAATTACCTCTGCACTGCACCTAAGCATTGTTTTGTTGAGGAATACATTTAATGCAGGTAGCTCGGTGTGCAGCTGCAGTGTGAGCTGCACATTGAGCTCCTGGAGGCAGAGGTTTCTTTTGTTCGGGGCCCCTCCTTGGAGGTGCTAGCTGGAGCTGTTATTCTGTTGTTGCACCATGATTAAATTACTTAAAGGATCCAGAGGTCTAAGACTCTGCTATGGGAAAGCTGGGGTCAAGCTGGTAAGGAAACCTGGTCTGACTGGGTGAGTGTGGAGTGTGCAGCTGCGAAGGGGCTTTGGTCCCAGCTCAGGTAGTGTGAGTGTGACTGCCAGAGTGGCTCCTGGATGGTCAGACAGGAAAGTTTCCCTAACAGTTTTAGGGGAACTAGTTTGTTCAAAATGAAAGCCTAAGCAGAACTCAGATGTGTGCAGTATGAATCTTGGGAAGAGCTGAGAGCTTGCATCATTTGATAACATAAATCAAGTCTGTGTATGCCTCTGATTATCCATTATCCATATATTTCAGCTGTGAGAAATCTCTCCTTTATTTGTGAGAGCAAGGACTGATTGATAAAGAATATCTGACAAAGTAACAGATACTTTTATGAAGACTAGGATATTCAAAGCAAATGTGTCTAGGTAATATTCAGAAAGATCAAAAGCTTGTTTCCTTCATAATGCTATTAGGCACTGAAAGGGAAACAATACATTTTGCATCAAAGTAGCACACTGTCTCATTGCAGCATGAATAAAAGAGTCTAATTTATAGCAAAGTTACTGAACTGCTGGCCTGCGAACTGTATGAGCTGAAGGATGAATTTGTCTCAGGTCTGTAAAGTTTTCATACGGTTATGCTGAGCATCTAGTTCTGCAAACTATTGCTGAGTCTGTCCATCTCCAGGAAATGGTGAATTTGATTTCTGGGAATCTCAAAACTCATACCAAGCCACAGTTCTTAAAATGCTAGACAGCCCTAGTTTCAAAAATAAGTGCTTTCATTATAAACAATGTAGCAATTCCTTTTTCTTTTAAGTGAAGAGAATATAAAAATAATATCAAAACAGAACACTGGACTATTTGGTATGTCATGATGTAATATGACAACTTGATAATATAAACAATACCATGCATTGACAGCATCCAATAACATATATAATATGTACCTGTATGTACCTGTAGTAGAAAAAGATAATTATAAGCTTAAAATCACTTTTATCACAGCATTTTTAATTGTATTTCAAAGGAAATATGGAGAGTACTCGGATTTATTATGAATTGAAATGAGGTCAGATTTTGAAATGTCTTTGTTTTCTGTGGAAATTTGAAGTGCTAAATCAGGTTTATTTGTAGGGGAACTTTGTAACTGATTAGATGTCAGACTAATTACTAGAACTTGTTTTCAAAAATCCAGAAAAGGAAGCTGTTACTTTGAGTTCCTGAAATTATTTTCTGTGTGTGTGATGCAGTTTGTACATCTTTGTAGTTTGTATATCTTTATAGTCAATCTACTCTTCACTCAATCACTGTCATGCATATGTAAATTTGTCTTTGTTGGTTATGTTTTTTTCCCCAATCATAAATAATAGATATACCAAACATTGCTTTCCTCACTGCTTTTCCTCCTACTGTTCATACAGGAGAAACCATGGTAAAACACATTCTTTGAGAAGTCAGAATCCTGAACTATTAGGCTGTAGTTACTTTGCATGTTCATAAAATGTGCAAGAGAAAACATGATTATGGTTGGACTCGTTGATCTTAGAGGTCTTTTCCAACCTAAAAGATTCTATGATTATATGATTAATTGGAAATTATGCTGCTAAAACCTTCTGTTCTGACTGATTTACCTGATTAGCCTGCACACAATTTTCAAGGTTGGTCTTTCGGTGTCAGCTTAGATAATTACATTGACAAAGATTGTTAAAACTGCTATGGTGCAGTTTCCTTATTACAGAGAAGTTAGGAGATTTGTGTTTCCATGCATTCAAATTCTGACTGAATGAAATGTACATCTCAAAACTTGCAACTAGTATTTCAAGTTATAATTTACCTTTGCCAACAGTATGAGAAAAATAACACATCTCAGTCTAGTGAAGTTACAGGCATTTCCTGAGGGCATTTTTACATTATTTCATTGGCGTACCTCTGCTGATCTTTTTATTGCTCCTACACTGAAAGAGCAACAAGAACCCCCGAAAAGACTCTGAGTGAAATATAGCCAATGGGATTTGACTTTGGAAATACTTGCACCGTATTTAGTGAAAAAATGCCAGTGTGCTGAGGATTCATTAACTGTTGTAAGTTGCCTTTCCTTCAGGCCACAAAGGCCAACCCTATGGCTTCATTTGAGAAAACAATGATGTGTTCAGGCTCTGAAATAATCTGTGGTAATGTGTTTTATTCAACAAAGACAACCTAGTGAAAAATCTGCTAGTTCTTTTTCCCCCTGTATCTTTGTCCTTTGAAATCTTTTAAAGAATTGTAAAGAAATTGTCACTTAACAATTTGGAAGTGCATCAAATACATCCATTTTTCATACAGAGTAAACTCTTGCCAGGAAAATTTAATAAAGTAATTTGCTGAAGCAGAAGAATATTGATAATGTTGGATGCACTCAGCATATCTAGCCAGCATACAATACTGGCAGCTAGGTTTTTTTCTAGGTAAAAAGAGAATTTTAGATGTAAATGTCTAAGTGATTCTTATGTGCCTATATTTAAAAAAAACCCCAACATCTAGGATATCATCACCTGGCAATTAGAAAGAAACTGATTCCTACGGTATCTTACAAGGCATCTTAGAAGATTTTTTGTTTGCATTCTCAGTATTCCAGATTTTCCTCCGCAATGGCAAAACCGTGTTATAGAATTTTCCTGTCAAATAGAATTCTATAGCAAATTACTTATCATCAGATAATAGTAATTCATAAGAAGCAAAGGCTTTTTCTGAAAGAGGCTGGTTTTCGCTGAGTTGTTTTCTCGACTTAATTTTCAGTTTCTTTACAATAGTGCTGTTTGAAAAGTGTCTTTGTTTTAACTAGAGTGAAAAATGGTGGAGACTCAGAAGATCTAATGAAATTTTCAGTTTAAAATTTTGCCTGAACTAATCCAATTACCTATTTAGGAGACTAGGAAAAAGAGGAAAGAAGGAGGGATTTCTATAATTTTTTCCCCTTATTTTAGATTTTTTTATCTCATTGTAGTTTGAGGTTTCATTTTTACATCAAAAATGCCTTTTTGACTGGTTTGAGGTTTCCAAATGATCTGACAGATCTAGCTATGGAGCTTGCTAGCCACCAAAACCGTCAAGGGAACCATTGCTGGTTTTCTGTTGTGGTCATTATTCTTGCATCTGTAAAATGGTGAGCTGATGGAAGAATGGCATATGTGAATGTTTTGCATGAAACCTTGTTGTGCTGATCCAGTAGAATTGTAGCAGCTGGGACATGGAAAGGCCATGAACAACGAAGAGGCATAAGTTTAGATATACTGGATTTTCAAAACTAATATAAGGTCCAGATCTTCAGATTATACTAATGAACAGCTATGATGACTTCTTCGGAACTGTGTTGGCACTTTATGATGGTCTCAAAGGATAATGGTATTTTAAAATCCCATCACTGTTGTGAGAAATAACTGGTAAACAGCTTTTTCTGCCCTAAAATTAGTTTAGTAAGAAAGCTGCACAAAACTGAGGATTTCAATTAATACTGGAGTATGTCAGTATACTTATATGAGTGGAATTGGAAATCAAGATTAAGAAATTATATAACTATACATTCATTGTGTTTGCAAAATATGAATATGGAAACATAGGAAAATATGAGAGTTTTTATGTGTTTGTTTTCCTACCATATGTCTGTGTTAGAAACCTATGCCACAAAAAGCACAAATGGTGATTTTATATTTTCCCTCTTGTGCAGGGATCTGTAAAGCACAGACTAGAAGTCAAGTGTTGTAAATTAGACTTAGCTGATATAATAGCAAATGAATGTGCTGTATCCAGAATTTATTCATAATGTGTATTCATAATGCACAGATATTTTCATATAGGTATTTGTTTTAAAAACTGTGGCAATCCAACTATTTTCTTACCAACTTGACCCATGGTCTTTCAGGTAATTTGATGCATTTTTGTAACCCTCTTTTTTTTTTTTTCCCCAGGTGGTGCTCTATCGAATAAGTTTTGATATTATTACTGGAAGTTCTCATCCATTCAGGTACATTTAATTTTCATTGTGTAATTTATCTATATAATCATAAGATACTTTAGATTGTAATCCTTTACATACAAGGACAGCTGGCCACCAAGTAAAAATGTTTTCTAAGGCAGGAAGATATAAAAGGTGCCCAATCAAGCAACAGGAAGAGAAATGGTCTTAGAGAAACCTTCCTGAGAGAAGCTGCTAAGCCTCTGCTTTCTTAGACTTTGTTCTCTTCTGTTTTGTTGGACTGTAGGTACAATGGATTTATATGTATATGCATAATTAAATTGTGTCAGATTAATTCTCACAAAAGCCTTATCTTAGCATTTTACCATTTTAATCTTCACCCATTTTAGGTTGGATGATAACTTGGTGAAATGCTTAGTACTTTGGAAGGTTAGTGGCTTAAGTGCTAACTTGGTTATATCCAGACTATTAAAGTCTTTCTTTCCAGTGATGAAATAACCTTGATATATTTAAATAACCTTTAAAGGGTTTGTCAAATTGCCAACTTTATTTGCGCAGCAAGTAGTTGGATTGCTATGGAAGCATACTGTGCTTTCAGAAAAGGCTGATTCAGAAAAGACATAATTTCTCATTCCTTCAATTGCTGGGCTATGGTGAGCACAGTGAGGTGAGCACTTGTTTGAGCAGCTGCTGCCAATAATATGCTTGTCTGAATGCTGTGCTAGCTGCTGGAAGTTCTGTAATCATATTACCGCAATAGGTACTTCTCTTTGAGGGTGAGGAAGCTCTGAAGCTTTAAACCTTGCATCAGTTAGTATTCTATTTGCTGTTACAAACAGACTTTGGCCAGGCTGAATTTGTTGTTTAAAAAGCAAAATGTGTCATGATATTTTCACCACATCCTTTCAGATCTGAAATGGATTTAGAAATGGGTCTCAGTTGTGTAGGCATTGTCTGCACAAGAGAAATTCAGAGTTGCCTGTTGCATCGCTCAAACTGTGAGTGACTAATCCATTATAAGGTGTTTAAATCTGACTATTGCCTACTTCACTGTCCTGAAACTATAACACATTTTCTGACCAAGAACTTTTGCCTAACATTCTTCTTGGGAGACAAACAGTGCAAAGTCCTCTGGAGTAGGGTTTGAATCCTTTCCAACCTCAGGAGACCTAGTCTCATTCATGCTCTTTCAGAGTTCTTTTTCAGTCCTCTGAAGGCCAGTGTAGAAGTAAATTAAAGTAACTTCTCAGCAACAGCTGCTTTCCTCTCTAAGGACTGGAAAAATCTCAAAAGAAAAAGAATTTACAGTCTGATAACAGTCCTTCTGGATCTGTCTGTGGATTCTTCATTGTCAAGTTCGTTTTCCTAATGGCAATTACATAAAGCTTAATTGACTTGTTCAGTGGAAAAAACAAACCATGGAGAAACCACACAGTGAATTCATATTCTCTCTCTTATTACAGAAGTGGTGATAGTTTATGTGACAGCAAACAGTCAAATTTTATGCTAAAAGTACCTTGTGCTGCATTTAAGGTGGGTATCTCTGCTCTGCTGTGCTATGCACACAATACCGTCACAAATACCAGAAATCAAAGACCTGTGAGGTTAATTGCAAACTGTGATACATTTAGAGTAAGAAAAAAAAATGCTGTTTCAGATTTCCTACTTGCATGGTCGTGTTGTTTCATAGGTTTGTGAGAGGAGAGGAAATGGCTGAACTGCTTGCATTCAGTACAAATTATTTTGTAGTTATGTCAGTAGAAACAAGAGCTGTATTAAGGGCTGTAGTAGCTCACCTTGAATGCTCGGCCTTCAAATGGTCTTAGCACTATGTAGAGGGTTTCTGTGGCTGAGTTTTGGTAGCGGGGGGGGCTACAGCGGTGACTTCTGTTAGAAGCTGCCAGAAGCTTCCCCTGTTCCATGGAGCCAATGCCAGCTGGCTCCAGGACGGACTTCCTGTGCTGCTGGCCAAGGCTGAGCCAATTAGGAGTAAAAGTAATGCCTCTGTGACAACATATTTAAGAACAGAAGGTTGTTGCGCAGAAAGAATTCCAGCCAGGGAAGAGCGGAGTGAGAACATGTGAACAACAAAGTAGACACCGAGGTCAGTGCAGAAGGAGGGGCAGGAGGTGCTCCAGGAGCTGGAGCTGAGGCTCCTGCAGCCCGTGGTGCAGACCACGGTGGAGCAGCTGTGCCCCTGCAGCCCATGGAGGACCATCAGGGTGCAGAGACCCACCTGCAGCCCACGGAGGAGCCCATGCTGGAGTGGGCAGATGCATGAAAGAAGCTGTGACCCCGTGGGAGGCCCAGGATGGAGCAGGGTCCTGCTGGAGACCTGCAGCCCGTGGAGAGGGAAGACTGGGTGCTACAGGAAGCCCACACTGGAGCAGGTTTTTCCCGGGTAGGACTTGTGGCCCCTGTGGGGGACCCACGTCGGTACAGCTCATTCGTGAAGGACTGCACCCCATGGAGGAGTGACCCACAGGACAGCAGTTTGGGAAGAACTGTTGCCCAAGGGATGGACTCACACTGGAGAGATCCATCAAGGACTGTCTCCTGTGGGAGGGACCCCACGGGAGCAGGGGGAGGACTCCTCTCTCTGAGCAGCAGCAGAAACAACAACTGACTGTAACCCCCATTCCCTGGCCCCCTGCACCGCTGGAGGAGGAAGAACATGGAAGGAAGGAGGGGTGGGGGGAAGGTGTTTTTAAGACTGTTTTATTTCTCACTCTTTGGCTCTTATCCTGTTAGTAATAAATTTAAGTACTATCCCCACTTTGAGTCTGTTTTCCCCATGAAGGGAATCAGTAAGTGACCTTTTCCAGCTGTTAACTCATGAGTCCTTAGCTGTTTTTTTTCTCTCCTCTGTCCAGTTGCAGAGGGAGAGTGAGAAAGAGGCTTTAGTGAGTACCTGGTATGCAGCCAGGGTCAACCCACTACACACTCAGATAAGAAAATCTTATCTGGGGAAATCTTACCTGAAGGAAGCAGGTTTAGCGAGGTGAAATTACTATGACTTTTCTTAATGTGTGGATCCAGATTCTCTCACTGAATTAAACTCTCCTTTAAGACTGTACCTATGTCTGTTCTCTTCATACCCCCCCTTCTCCCCCCCAGCACATATTCCTTAGGTAATTAAGACCAAGAGAAGTCAGGGGATGAAGTTTTTATGTATCTTTGGGAAAAGTGTCATTACAGATGCCTGATTATGCAAAACAGAAAAGAAGATTTTTCCACTTTGCAAATGCCAATTAGCTTTTTCAGTGGCTCCATGTAGGAGTTCAGCATGATTTCCATATTTTGAAAATAAGAATTGCTGAGAGATTAGACCAATATGCATTGCAGAAAAACAGGTATCATGTTCTAAAAATTGTTGTCTTCACAGTTTTGAGTTAACAGAACGTATCAGAAATGGTGTTATAAGAGTGTTTCATTGAAGAAAATAGAATTGCAAATACAACCTTTTTTTTCCTCACTCGGAAAACTTGCTCATTTTTCAGTTTTGTTGTGATTTAAATATTTTTCTTCAGGAGGTGTCAGATGGAATTAAACTAATCACCAGTGCTATACATTTCACTTAATTTCATGTCCACTGCATCTCAAATTAAATCCACCTAGCATTTTTTACCATTCATTTGCAAAAACTGCTACATTCATAATTTATGTTTCCCAAAGTGTAGCCAGTGACAGAAAGTGTGAAATGCTTCAGTGCTGATGTGAAAACATGAAATGAACTCAATTTCTGGCATAGATTGAATTTAAATATAACTCAGCATGATTGAAAATTTTCTCAGTGTCCTAGATTTGCACTTCAGGTTTCGGTTTATACTAAGCATGAGTAAGTGTTGTTAGCTGCATGAATAATGCATTTTCTTCAGCTCAGCCCATTCCCTTCACATGTTTATTCATTTATGCTGTTTAAATGAATCAAAACGGTCAGTATTCACTCCTGTTCGGACAAGCTGCAGGAGAGATCAGTTTCCTCAGGCTTAGAGCAACCACAGAACTACTTACCCAGAGACTATCTTTTTAAATGATAATTTATCTTTAGTTGTCATCTGCATTCAATGACAGAAGCCCCCTTTCATACTTCTATATCGTTATCTTGAATAAAATTCTTGTAAATTTATATGTATTTTTGTAATATATTTCTGGTGTCAGGAATACTAATTGTAGAAATGAGAAGTAGCTTCACAACAGAACCCAGATGCACCTGGTGTTTGGGACCTGAGAATGTATTTTTCCCTTAGACACATGGTTTCACAATCAATCTACACCTTTTCAGAGCTCAGGGAGTCTATGAACAAGGGATTAGGTAAACGGAAGGAGGAAATAGGGCTGAATCTGTCAGGTTTCACGTTAGAAGAGCTGCACGGTTCCGTCCGTGTCAGTTTACAAAAATGAATTTGGCGGAAAAGCAGCTCTGTAGAGACTAATATTGTCTCATTCTAGATGAATAGAGACTAATTTTGTCACTTTGGCAATTTATGTTTCATCATTCTCTAATTTAAATGTCACAAACTTAGTTTTTATATTATGTCAGTTATTCAAACTTGTATGGATCCATAATATCCAGATAATTAGTATATTTCTTGTATATAATGAGGTTTAGTAACATCTGTTAAGGTAACACATTATTATTGTACTCGAAGCATGAATTTAGTCTGCAAAAGGAGCTTTTTGAAGATATTAGTGATAGGTATATGCCACACAGCCATCAGCTTCTGTATGGCTTTCTCCTCAATTTCTTACCCTCATTAATATATTTTCCTTGTCACAGTGCTTGTGGTGTTTGTTATACATTAGGTACTGAGAAGTGCGAATAACATGCACATAGTCACACAATAAAGCCTGTAATACAAATGAACTTAATTTGTACTTCTTGAATCCAGGATATTGCCTGGATGCTACAGTCCCACCCATCTTTTTTGTATAGTCGTGTCTTTGAAAACTATCTTTAAATGAAGACTTACTGGCTACTGGAGTTATTCAAATGAGAAAGATGAGTAGAATCTTCTTCTTACTAAATCTTATCCTCTATTCCCACT